CAGATTTCTTGGTTCAGCTTCCATTTCATTTTGTCAGTGTAGACACATTCTAAACACAGAGCAGTAACCATGCCCATTAAGGTAGCAGTGCCAAGGGAAGAAGAAAGAAAGGAGCCAGAGGCTAGTCAAAAGGCTGCCTTTGTTCTTTCTCTTGGAAATCCTCCCAAACCTCCATTGAAATCCAGGTGTCTGTAAAGCCAAGGATAAATATTAAAAGAGTACTTTTCACCCCAGGATCATTAACCCTGTTGGAACTTTAAAGGCAAAAACCAGATTCACCATAAATAAGAGGTGACTTTGGTCACTCTTGAACCTTGGTGGTTCTCCACCCCCCCAAAAAAAGGGAGTTCTGTAAGGAGGTAGATTGAAGTTTTCAAGGGAAGCCAACTCCTCAGAAGGTAATTAAGCACTATGTGTTCCCTTTGTCCCTACCTCAGCCCATTAACTCTCAGTGTGTTGGCATTCTTAGACAGTAGAAGGCCTGGTCTAATTGAACTTTAATAAGGAATGCTCTGATGCTGTTAAATGTGCCATGTCCTTTCAGGGGGCTCTTTACAATACATGACTTTACATAACACAAGAATAAGCAACTTTTTGCTTTTGACTTTTTGCTCAAGAGCATCCTGTTGTTTAATGTGCAACCTTTGTTTTGATCTTGAACTTTGACCTAAACATCCAAGAAAGTGCATCTTCCCCCTGCCCCATAATTCAAATCTGCCAGGCAAATTTCATCACCAGTTATGTGCATAGGTCAATCCATCTCTGAAAGGCTTAAGAATCTGCTGCAAAAATGAATCACAACAAATTATCTTTCATTCTAGTTGAACATTAATAATTGCAGTATTATTAGTAATCATTAACTTGGCCATAATCAGCAGGTTCTAAGTAAGGAGCATCATCTTTACCTGAAGACTGATAAAAGTTGTCAAATCAATGTAAACTGAAGAAAGTCTATTAAATATCCATGATCACTTGAGACCACCCATTTAAGGATACGTTAAAGCAAGCCAGTGCAATACTGCTCCAGTAATCCTCTGATTATATTTAGAAAGCAGAGAAGGAAGCATGTCCATGCTTTAGTTACTTTGTGCCAAGTACTGGAGATACACAAGCAAAGATGAGCCCTGTCCTCAAGGAGCTTACTTTCTAATGAGGAAAACAAAACGTGGGAGTGGTATCTGATCAGTGGGAAATCAGATGGTTCCAAGTGTTTTCAGCTATGAGTACGCTCTTTAAGTTCATCCCAAAACCTTCTCCATGTGAGACAGCCATGTCACAAATGTGAGCCAGAAGCTCATATCTGTTCTTTCACAAACCAAGTCTAAATAAACTGAGGACACTGGAAACTACATTGGACTCAGAGTCAGGAGGCCTGAGTACTAGTACTGCCTCTGCCAGAAACTAGCTGTGTTACTAGCTTTTCTGTCAGATCACAAAAAGACTTTTCCCTCACAGTCTCAGTTTCCTCCCTGTTCCTCTTTTTTTTTTTTTCAATCTATTAAACGAGGGATTGGCCCAAGAGATCTCTACCTTGAAGACTCTGAATCTGTGACTCAGAAGCTGAAATTAAAGAGGAAGTCTTGCTTGCTGCTTTTTAATGTGTCATTATACTCTTTCTGTGACATTTCCACAGAATGAATCATTTTGTTCGGTATAGTATACGTCTGCAGTTTGTGTACCAGCCTGGCTATGTATTAAGAGGCTCAAAAGGTTGGCTGTAGCGTGATCCATTTTTTCGATCCTAGTAACTTTTAGAGAGCAACTGCTACTTTATAAAGAAGTTTCAACCTATGTCAATAGATGGAATACCCATATTTATGGAATCACAATTCCCTAAAGTTTTGAAGTATATAATTTTGCACAGCGCATGCATGAATTTACTTCTACTTTTAATGCCGGAGCAGTTCTCGGTTTGACCAGTAGATGGCAAACATTCTTTTTGCTTCCTTCATATAATCATAGGATTTAGAGCTGGACACTCAGAAACGAAGTGTCAATTTGCCCAGTCAATGAGAGAAGAATAGTTTCATTGCATCATAAAAAATCTTAGAGCTAGAAGAGACCTTAGTTAGACATTTAGGGAACAGGGCCTTTTTTTTTTTGTCTTTGTATATCCAGTGCCTAGCACACTGCCTTGTACATAGGAAATGGTCCCTGAATGTCTATTGAATTGAATTTTTGAATCTTGTAAAATTCCTCATTTAACTAAGAATCCAAGGTCTAGATAACTTGCCCAGGGGTATCTAGCAGATGAAATAGAGCTGGTACTCCCCAGGAGTTTTAATTCCCACTCTGGTATGGGATGTTCTGTAGACACTCTGAGCTTCCACACTACTCTTGCTGTTCCCCTTCCCAGCTGTGTTTGTTAGATCAGCATTAGAACTTCTGGCAAGACGTGGTTTCCAGCCCACCAAGGCAAGTCTGGGCTAGTTTTAAACATGTGCCGCGCTAGTGTTCTGTTGTTCTCTCTCTCTCTCTCTCTCTCTCTCTCTCTCTCTCTCTCTCTCTCTCTCTCTCTCTCTCTCTCTCTCTCTCTCTCTCTCTCTCTCTCTCCCTCTCTCTCCTCCTCCTCCTCCTCCTCTCCCCCTCTCTCCCCTTCCCCCTCTTCTCCCTCTCCCTCCCATCCTCTCCCTTTCCCTCTCCCTCTCCTCCCCCCCTTCCTCTCCTCCCCTTTATGTCAGTTTATGAACACACAGTAACCTATTTTCCATAACAGAGTTGAGCCACAGTGACTTCATTGAAACCAAAAGAATGCATGAAACTTACATGTTACGTATTATGACTATATCTCTCCACATATGGGTTTCTTCTACCTTTTTTTAACATGTTTCTTACATATTTTAGAAACAATATCTACACTCAACATGGACATTCTGTGGGGGAGAGGGAATGCCAGAACAGTAATGTGGTATCCCAGTAGAATATCTTTCACTTATCCAATACACCTTTGATAGCACACATAACTTCCTTTGTCTTTTGATTGTACTTCAACGAATTATAGTTACCACTAGTTACCTATCTGCTCCACAATAAAATATCATTATCAACAACAAAACAGAGCAGTGGAATTTTCATTCTCAAAGTCTTGGGGTATCTAAACCAGAATCCCATTTGGAAGATTCCATAGCCAATAAAAGAACTTTCCCAAGAGTTCCTGAAACCTGTGAGCTTTTTCTTTCCTACCAACTAAACTCAAAGCAATTATAGTCATTGCATTTAGCATCCTTAATCACTATAGTCAAAAACAAAAACAAAACAGTTATCCTATATTCCTGCAGTGAAAGCTTGCCAGGGCAAGGTGCTGATTCTGTGCAAAATCAAATTATGATGTATACTCTTTAGGCCTAATCAGGCTTCCATGGGTCTTTCCAAATTGCTGGGGACAGACTTTTGCATTTATTTCATGGGTTTTCGTGTACTGGAGATTGTTTATGATATTTAAATATGAGTAACCTTGTCTAAGATATCCCTTATGTTCTCAGCCTCAGTATGTATTGCCTCACATATTCATGTTTTAATTATTCTAGAGCTACTTAATTTCTTCTGGTAAATTTGTATAAAGCAATTATCTTTGTTAATGGAAAATGTTTTGCTGAATTAAGAGAAAAAATTAGTGGAATCTGAGCTCTAATTAGTTATTCTTTAGTTGATTGATTAAATGTTTATTTTGCATCAGTACAGTTTTCAAACAACTCTTTTGTTAGTGTTGGGAAAATAGCATGGGCTCTTTGCAAACCAGTGATGGTAAATTGGTCAGCTGAATTATGTCTGGCATATTCCTGTAGATTCCAGGAAGAGTAACCAAACCAAGAAGCAATGTCCCTTACAAGTGTTTTTGTTCATTCTCTGTGTTGGTTCTTTCCTCAGGTCCGTAAGAGGTGGCTCCGATTCCTCCCCTTCTGAGACCCAGCCAGCTCAGTCCTGCCAGGCCTTCCTCCTCCGAGTCCTCAGAGCCGCTTTACCTCTTCAGTTTCTCCTTTTGCTCTTAATTGGTCTTGCCTGCCTGGTACCAATGTCTGAGGAGGACTACAGCTGTGCCCTCTCCAATAATTTTGCCCGATCATTCCACCCCATGCTCAGATATACCAATGGCCCACCTCCTCTATGAATCAGAAGACTAGTATTCATGTGTACGTGTACTGTTAGCAGAAGAATCTGGCAAAAAAAATTAATAATAAAAGGCAAATATACACACAGTTACACAATTTAAAAAAAAAATAAAATCCATCTGAAAAAAGGACCTTTGCCAAATGGAATGCACATAGGGTGGCAGCTTCTTGTATCTCCTAGATCTCGTGTGCAGATCACCACATTGGCAGTAGGTCGTAAGGAGAGAGAATCGGAACAGAGCCAGTATTTTGGAAGAAACCTCAATTTCCAAACCCAGAACCCTAGCACTAAGAAGACTTTTAAGTAATAGCTGCCAGTGGCCTGGGATGTTTGCCACCTGAATTTTGGCCTTTGGCTGGTTCTGTGGATAGCCAAGGATTTTATTATACTGTTGGAGTAACTTTCCCATGTGCTGCTGCCTGGCTCTGTTAGCCAGTCATCCCAAAGTACCCTATCAGTATCATGGGATCTACAAATCAACCAGTGCTTAAGAGATTTTAGAATCTTGTACCATACAATTTTAAAGAGCTTCAATAGCTGCTTACTTTTTACCTTGGTTACTTTTTCAGGCATGATGTTCTAACTTTTGCTTTGGATGCACAGGCTGTAAATCTTAAAAGCACTTTTTAAAAAAGGTTTAAAGAAAACTGGATGTAATAAATAAGATCATGGAAGGTTTTATGAGAAAAAAAACTATTGAATGTTAAGTGAAAAAAAGGAAGATATTTATGTATGTACAGTTTGCTAAAGCCGTTTTGTTTGTATTGATTTATTTGCATTTATTATAGATACCCTAAAATATTTGTCTGTTCTTTTTTAATGATAATATTGAAAAATCTAAGTTTCAAGATTAAGCAGGGGAAATTAAAATATAACCATATGTATCTACAGATGTTTCATTTATTTTCCTCACAAAAAGTCACATTAGGATGACAGTCAAGGACAAATATAACAGCAAAGGCCTTTAAAATATAGGTACAGATTGTGGCCATCATAAAAGTAAAATTACTTTTCTTTTCTAAAAGAAAAAATTATCCTTCACTTCACTGGAATGCATTAGAAATTAGCTTTAGTTCCATGGGATGAATGAACAAAGAAAAAATTATTTATTAAAGGTTTACTATGTGCTGAGAACTGTGTAAATTTTGAGGATGTGAACACAAAAAGAGAGAGAGAGAGAAGAAGGAGGAGGAGGAGGGAGGAGAAGAAGGAGAAGGTGGTGGAGGAGGAGGGAGAAGAGGAGGAGGAGGTCCCTGTCATCAAGGAACTAACATTCTTTCGGGGTGCAACAACAAGAAATGGGGCTGATAGAAAATTACAGAGATGGAAAGGGGAGCGATGATTTCCAAGCTGCTTCAATTTTTAAAATATATTACTTTATTTGGATTTTGGTATTTTCTAGAATGCAGTTCTATAGGATACTTTTGGCGTTCAAGGGAGATATACCCTAGAGGTCTCTTTGAATAGCGAAATCTACAAATACTGGACTGAAAAGAGGGAAAGGAAAGATATGGAATTTATCAATAATCATCTACTAGTAGTATTAATAGTAATGTCTGTGATGGGCCAGGCACTGAGAAAAGACAAAAATGAAACAGTTTCTGCTCACAAGAAGCTTATATTCAATCAAAGGAGACATATATATGTATACATATATACGTACATAAGATATATACACAAGCCACATACATTGGATGGGAAGTCACTAGCAACTGAAAGGACCAGGAAAAGCCAAGAGAAAGACAATCATAGGAGAATAAGAGTCTGACCTAATCTTCACAGGCACCTGGTATATGTGAGTATTCCTCATTTTTCCTTAAAGAGATTGGTCCCTTTTTTTCCCCCTTCCTCTCTTTTTCCCTAGAAGGGATGAGTTGGGTTTTGGGTAAGGGAGCCTGATTCATATGGAGAGCTTGGACTAGCCCGAGCTGAGGAGATTAGACCAAGTGTTTCCACGTTCTAAACTGGTACTAATGCCTTGCAACTTTAGTCACCTCACAACCTCATGTGTGAAAGACAGCTCTACTAAATATTTGGTATATGCATTGTTACTTACTGCAAAGAAAATATAATTTGTCTTTGGAACCTCCCAATATCCCTTCACAATACTTTTCTACTAACCCAAGGTACCCAAGTTCCTCCTGCTCTCTAATTGTCCAAAATTCCCCATTCTGTCCAGACTTAGCTTTTCCCAAAGTGTCCTATACTTCAGAATTATCCCTCTCCCTCTTCCCTGCCTGCATTAAGAATGTCTATACCTCTGATCTTTGTTGCTGATTTCAGTGAGATGCTGATTTGACTCTAACCAATGTAAAAATAACTAAGAGGCTTGACTTGACCAGATGACTCCCAAAAGAGATGCTTCCTGATCACTCAATTGGATACTGGCTGAATATGTAACAATATGTCACAGGAATAGAAGCTGGGGAAACTGAGTTAGCTCAATTCAAGTCAATTTAACAAACATGTATTACATGCCTTCTATGTGTCAAACACTGAAAGTTTCTAAAGATCAAAAAGACAAAAATGATACAGTCTCTACCCATAGGAAGCTTACATTGTTCAGAGGGGACAACACAGATACTGATGAGTAAATAATTAAAAAAATATAAAATAAATGCAAAATAATTTTTAGTGTGATGGGATTAACAACTGAGGGAAGCAGAAAACACTTCTTATAAAAGAAGGCACTTGTAAAAAGCCTGAAAGGGAGTTTCGGATTCCCAGAAAGATCATCTAATCCAACTCCTTCACAGTGCAAATGAGTAAACAGAATCCCAGTGAGGTGAAGTCACTTGCCCAAGGTCACATAGCTAGTAAGTGGTAACAAGGTAGACATCCAGGTCAGCTATTTCCAAATCTTTCCACTACAACTTTCATGGGCATGTTAGGCTACTTCAACGCTTAAAAGATGAAAATAGTCAACAGCTATTCATTATATGAAGAATAGGAGAATGCAAAGAGTGTTAAGACCCATCATTTTGGTTTATAACTGTAACATCTCTCATACATTTCTTTTCTCCACTCACACAGCAACCACCTAGATTTCAGGCCCTTGTCACCACTTGTCTGGACTATTACAATTGTCTTCTAAATGATCTCTGGCCTCTGGTCTCTCTCTATTCCCATCCATCCTTCACTCAGCTGTCAAAGTAATTTTCCCAAAGCATTGGTCTGCACCTTTCCTGTCCTGTCAGTAAATTCCAGTGGCTCAATATTACCTCTGGGATCTAATAAACTCCTCTGTTAAGGTAAAGCGAGACCAGATTGTAGAGGGCCCTGAATACCAAGCTGAGGAGTTTGTACTTTAACTTACAGGCAAAGGAGAGCCATTGAAGACTTTAGAAGCTTTAGGGAAGAAAACACTTTTAGGAAGAATAATCTAGTTGAGTAATGTGTAACAAGTTAGAAGAAGGACATTCAGATCAGGGCTCCTTAGTCTGGAGTCTATGAACTTTTGAAAAATATTTTTATTACTATTTCAGTATAATTGTTTTCCTTCATAATCCTATGTATTTTGCCCATTTAGAAACATTGAGTAGAGGTCTATAGGCTTCACCAGCCTGCCAAAAATGGTTCATGATGAAAAAATAATTAATAACTTTTAAGAGACCAATTCTTTTAGATTACTGCAATAATTCAGGCATGAACCAGGTCTGGGAAACTCCCACAATAATGTCATTAGGGAGGGATTATTCTTCCTTTGTCTCTGCTCCATGCATCTGGACAATAGTTGACCATACTTCCTGGCAGATCAGTATTAAGGCTCTGATGCAAAAATCTTTTCTGAAGCTGGAGCATTGCCATTGTCACACACACACACACACACACAAATCCACATTCAAGCATAAATAACGCAAAAATTGAAGCCAGTGATAAGCTAGTGGGTGTTCCTCAGCCTTTTTTCTAGGAACTAGCCTGCTACATTGTGGGGGCATATTGCATCATTGATGAGTCATGGTTTAAAGGAATATGTTATTGATTAAGAAAACTTGCAGAGGATAGCCCCCAGTAGTGAAGAGGTCCAGAGATTTTGGGGTGCTGGGGACCCCAAGATTGTGGTACCGGACCCTGCCTGAAAGAATTCAACTCAAATCTTCTTCCAGCCAGAGGAAAGGTTTATTAGTGATAAATCACATAGGCCAGGTAACACACATGAGAACAAGCAGGCATGAGAAAGGCTCAGCCTCTTGGGTGTGATATTCTCAGCCTGAATGAGGGCCAGGGTAGATCTTATATACTAAAGTGACTTTGGGTGACCAGGGGAGGGTCTGGGAAAAGGGTGTGGGTGAGAATTCTGATTGGAAGGTCTGAGAGATTGAATAGACAATGGGAATAGATAATGAAATCAAAAAGGTGGGGCTAGGGCTTTCAAAGGGAGATAAGGGCTGGGGCCTGCAGACAAATAGGAATCAGATTCCCTTTGGGCAAGGGGCAAAGACCCGGGCTTGGGCCACACCCCATACAAAACAAAAAACATCCTAGCTCAAAGTGTCATTTACTTTCTCATTAATTAAAATCAAATTGAGTGACAAAGCATTAGAACATGAACATGGAAGTTATGAGGAAGTAGAACTTGAGAGTGACTACCTTCTGCAAGATGATGATTTATATAATAAGAGCTAGTCCATAGAGGGGAAGGAGACACTTACCCAGAGGCCTGCCCACCTCATTGGATATACTGAGGGGAAGGAAGTTCAAGAAAAGTTAATCACTCCCATGCAAATAGCAGTTTTTAGCAACATGGAAAGATAGGGACAATTCCATTTTCGTTAAAGTGCTTCCTGGAACTGAAAAAGCATTTAATTGATGAAGGAAAAGTGGTGGCTACTAACTATAAACTCATTTCTAGTATAGTTGATATGAAGATAGAATATTACTATTGCAGGGCCTGAGAGGTGGAAACCCAAGTGAATGAATGTTTAAAAAAAAGGGGGAGTGAGGGGGGAGGCTGGACAAAAAAAAATGATCAAAAAGATGAGATCCCACATTGCTAATCATTAGTTTGGGGAGATAAAACAAGGGTCATGAAAGGGCTAGAAATGGAAGAGCAATTTCAAAAAAGGCAGAAGAAGAAAGAATCCATCTGGAATTTGTGGTATTTTCAAATCCAGAAAAAAAGGTATTAGAAAATGGAAAATGGTTTTATAGCCAGAAATTATGGATAGGATTAAAGATCTTCAGGAAAGGCATATGTTTTAGTTCAGAAAGGTCTCTCTGGAAGTAAGACATTGTTACGCTTAATTTCTCAAAAATCAAGGTGATCATAAACTCCAGTCTTCCTACTTTCTGCAGGAAAAGAGAGAGAGAGAGAGAGAGAGAGAGAAGAGAGAGAGAGAGAGAGAGAGAGAGAGAAGAGAGAGAGAGAGAGATAAAAGTGGCAAAGAGAGCGTTTGAAGAAAGTCTGAGATGGAAAAGCCAGCACTAGTTCATGTAAATCTCCCCAGTTTTCTCTGAAACCACTCCTTTCATCATCTCTTAGAGTACAATAATATTCCATTAGATTCATATGCCACAATTTGTTCAGCCATTCACCATCCTTAGCTTCTAGCTCTTTGCCACCACAGAAAACAAAACTGTTATCAAGTACAGAAGGGAAAATTTCAGGTAGATGGATTCACAGCCTGCCACCTCAAAATGAATGTTAAGTAACAGGCTGTCTAGATAACTTGGAAGCAATAGCCACAATAAGCATAAGCTGGCATATATACTGGCAAGGTAGAGTTACTTGTATTACTAGTAGTTACTGTGCAAAAATGGGCCTTCAGGAACCAAAGGCCAGAGTCTCAAAATAGTCAGAATGGATGGGAACAAGAAAAATTCAGAATATTGGCTCTGCTGCCACCTGACCACTTCTTCTTTATTTTCTGCCTACAACTTTATCTGTAAT